GTCACAAATTGTGATTCATTTTGGTTTATAAATTATTATTGCGATATACAGATGGCAATCGTTTCTATAATGTACGTCGATGGTTGCTCAATTAAAACTGACTTCTTCTTACTCACTCATTTGTGTCCTTTTTGTGGTGAGCTACAGTGTCATTGACACTTTTATTGACTTTGCAGTGGCACATACCTACCATAATGTGGGGTGAGTGCCCCCCCCCCTCGGGGTTTCATCTCCTCGGTATATCATAATATGTTGCTCCTTGGTTCCCTGCAGAATTTTTTTCCAAAAGAGTGCCACAGCAGTGCCGTGCTGCCGTGGTGGCCACTACGGCCCTGAGTCCTCATTGTATTCGTCAGTTAGTTTTATTCAATTACCACTGTTCTTCATTACATTTAGCCAAGGTGCATATAGTGAGTAGCAACAATAGCCTCGGGTGAGAGGATGTATACGACTGTGACCTTGACATTTATACTCTCCGACACGACTATTAAATGTCCCGAGCCAGGGGCATGTACAGGATTTGTACCAGGTGGGGGGTCTAGCCGTAACCCAAACTTGCGAGCCCTCCCCCAGAAAATTTTTGAAGTTAGACTCCCTTAGATGCGTTTTCTGCGCGAGCAGGGGGGGGGGTCCGGACCCCATGGACCCCTTCCCTGTACACGCCCCTGCAGGCATGCTGGCAAAACGAGCTATATGGGTAGTGTGGGACTTGTTCAGAATACCAGAGAGAGGGGGGGTAAGGGTATTTTCGTGAAACGTGATCGATCGTTTTTATACCTCGTGAACTGTGAATTGCAATTTATTTTGTCTGTGAACTGTGAATGGACCACCTTGGGTGAAGCGTGATTTAGCTTTTATTTAGTCTGTGAACTGTGAATAAGAGGTCTCTTTCCTCGTGAATCTATGCAAGTCAGGCGCGGATTTAGGCCGGTTTGCACCAGTTTCCAGAAACCGGTCACAGGCCTCAAAATTCACCAGAATGCACCAAATATAGCCTAATTTTTAAAAAATTCCCGGGGGGCCGGGGCATGCCCCCGGACCCCCCTAGCTGCAGAAGAACATATGGAAACTATATATATACACACACACACGCACGCACGCACACACACACACACACACACACACGTATAAGCATGACTACTGCGCAAGCATATTTTTGATTTTCAGAAGTGTTGTTAGTCAAGAAATACACTTGTATACTTCTAGGGACTTATTTCTATGTTGTCTGAAATTTTAGCTGTAAACTGGATTATCCCGTGATCTGTGAAAAAACTATATTTCCACTGATGAAATGTGAAAAGCAGTTTATTTTACACTGTGAACCCTGTGAATAGTATCCCCCCTTACCTCCCCTGTAGTATGTAGTATGCTATGCGTGCTATCTTATAGTATATAAATTAGTGTCATTGGTCATTTCTATCACGCAGTGGGTAGACAGGCTCTACAGTTGTGGGGGGGGTGAATTCGACTGATTACTTCATCGCATGTTATATAAGAAGTGTGTGCGAAAGGTTAGCGCTCACAGCGCGAGCGTCTTGGCGCAAAGCCCGAATGGAGTGGGTCCAGGGTACGCTTGGGAATTCTTAAGCGGAATTTTTGGAGCCTATTAAGCCTTGATTAGGCAATTTAGAACCTTCCAAGATGGTCCGTTTTGAAGGGAATTGGAAAAAAAATTAGATATTGTGAGTTGCAATTTTTGTGAATTCTATGTAATTTCTTTTCTTTGGATTCACCAGAGGTTTGAATAACACGACAACCCCCCCACACACACAACACACACAACCAGTGCGGAATCCAGGAGAAAATTCCATAAGTGGGGGGGATATCGAGCCTCAAGGTCACGAAGCGCCCGGTGGGGGGGGGGGGGTGCTGGAGGGGGTGTCACTAAAAAGTTTCAAATTAAAAGCAATCAATTTTTGCACATCTTTAATCATAGAATAAAGATCTTTATCAATAGAGATATGGGAGACACAAAAACTAAAATACTGTACTACCAAATCTGTGCTATGTAAATGACATTCCTCACTGGGGTTACCAGTTGCAGATATACCTGGCTAAAATACCCTTCCTGAAAATTCTAGGTGGGGGGGAGCGACCGCCGCAGTGCTATCCGCCCCCTGTTGACAACTACGCACTGAATCATCTCCCCTGAAATTTTGATAAAATACGTATTTTTAGCTGAGAACGTTTCGTTAAACGCCAAAAATATGAGAAAAACAACAATAATTTGAACCAAAAAGTGCATATTTTACAGCCTTATAATCAAAATCGGGAATATACTTTCCGAGTCGGGTCTCAGCACCGCCTCCCCCCGCCCCCCCCAAAAAAAGTGAGATGAACTGAATTTCCTATTCAATCCCCGTAGAAAAATTCCAAAATCCCAACATCAATAGTCTATTCTATTTTGATAAAGCTAGGATTTACTTTCGTGAGCAGTGATGAAGACTTTGGGGATTTTGAGAAAAAAAATCGTATATGGGGAATTGCGTCCAAATATAACCGGTCTGAGTTTCAGCTAAAATATATTTTTTCTTATTTACGGTTATTTCATTTAGCGAAAGCTCTATTTCATGCATAGTTTAGNAATTTTGGAGGAAAAATCCTGATATTCTATGATAAAGATGTCCTTCAGGGCGTGTCCCCCTCCTGTTTAGGGGGGGTACCGGGGATTTTGTTGAAAGTAACACCTCTTCGATGCAACTTCCTGCACTATGAGGCAGCACTATTAAACAACCTTCATCACAATAACATCACTGTTGAGTTGAGTATTTTTACCTTTGGGGACACCAAAGACTAAAATACTTACTACCAAATCTAATGCGGTTACCAGTGCAGACTTACCTAGGCTAAAATACCTTTGCCCTGAAAATTCTAGGGGGGGGGCGACCGCCCCGTGCTACCCACCCCCTGTTGACAACTCTGGAATCATCTCCCCCTGAAATTTTGATAAAAAGTATATTTTACTGAGAACGTTAAAACTGCAAAAAAATATGAGAAAAACAACCAGATTTGAACCAAAAAGTGCATATTTTTACCCCTTATACAAAATCGGGAATATACTTCGGGTCGGGTCTCAGCACCGCCATCCCCCCCCCCAAAAAAAAGTGAGATGAAATTGAATTTTCCCATTCAATCTCCGTGAAAATTCAAAATCCCAACTCTCAATAGGTCATGAAACGAAAATGAAAACAAATTAAAACAAAATTGAAATGTTTTTCACAGTGGCCTATCGCTGCCATAGACTGGTACTCACTCCCACCTCGATACCCATCGAGTAACTAAGCCGAGAGGTGGGACCGGGTACCAGTCTATGGCAGCTATATGCCACTGTGAAATACATTTCAATTTTGTTTACATTTTTTTTCATTTTCATTTCATTTTCATTTCATTTTCTTTTCTTTTTTTCATTTTCATTTTCATTTCATTTTCATTTTCATTTTTTTTCATTTTCATTTCATTTTCATTTCATTTTCATTTTCATTTTTTTTCATTTTCATTTCATTTTCATTTTATTTATTTTTATTTTTATTTTTTATTTTTATTTTCCTTATGGCAGTCCTAGGCCACCATATAGGTCTATTCTAATCTATTCTATCTAATCTAATCTAATCTATTCTATCTAATCAATTCTATTCTAAGCAAGGATTTAACTTTCGTGGGCAGTGATAAGACTTTAGGGATTTTGAAAAAAAAATCGTATATGGGGAATGCGTCCAAAATTAACCGTCTGAGTTTCAGTAAAATAATGTCATTCTTGGAACGAGTTACAGCCATTTTACAGTAGATGTATGTCACGTTCCATTTCTGTAATAATACATTAGGAGAGTATCAATAGCGATGACGGATTTGTAGATAAATTTCCAGTATTTATTGTCTGTAAAATATTAAATTTTTCCCCGTTTTCTTCCTGAAAGTAGGGGGGATGAAAGCCACCCCACCTCAATAAGTGTGGTGGGAATATACCCCTATCCCGCCTCTATCTACGCCCCTGTCAGATGAACTCAAATTTGACTTTTGATATGCATACAAATATTCATAATCATAATCTTATTAGCAGTACTCTGCAGGCGCCGTGGAACGATTTTTGAAGCGGGGGTGCTCAATTTGTTACGCTTGACAGTGGCCAATGCAGGTTTTCGAGGATGGTGGTAAGAAACAGGCGGGGGTATGCGGGCCCTCCCCCAGAAAATTTTGAATCCCCCATTTTCCTCCTTAAAGTAGGGGGGTGATTGTACATGCCATCCCTCCCCCACGTCAATAACGGAAGCTATAACTCATTGGCCAATGTTTGATCGATATCTTTATTACCTATGTAGTCAATTATACCTTATCAGGCATTTTTATGGTCATATTGGTGCTGATATTTCATACTTGACCTTTTTCTAAAAATAGCAGCAGTAACAGAATTTCACAAATTAGTTTTAGCTGAAGAATGCTAATTCTTGATGAACAGGTGATCTGACATTATTGTTTAAGTACTTTATATTTTACCACCTTCAATATTTAATACAAGTCACCTGTTTGTATAAATTCGAAATAGGGTTATTAACCTACTAAACATCATACATTCGTTAAAACAACCCGAAATTTACAAGTAATCAAAAGTTGGTGTGGATCAAATACAAGTCATTCTTGTTTCTCGTGACTCTCAGAAGTCAATGTTCAACGAGCAGAACTGAGATATGTGCGGTTCCCTACTTCAAATTTCTACGTTATGAGAAGTTCGTCTTTGCCAAGTTTTGTTTTAAGTGACAGCATAATACATAGTTAATTAAATATCTGGTGGCTCACGCCATAGCTCAATCTTTAAAAGTCCTCAAAAGAGTCCTAGTGTGTGCGGTCATTTCACTTCTATTCTGCTGTGTTATATTCACAGTTCAGATGTGTGGAACTTATTTTTGTTTGCTATTAGTCAGTAAAGACCATGCTATTTAGATATTGTGCAGTGTTACTCAGAATACAATATATATCACTGTGTAAATTTCTTTGTTATAGCATTTGAGCAGCATACAAGGTTGACAGTTCAAAGACCAGGTTATACTATCTTGAATGCAAAGATGACAGTCACAAATGATAACAAAAGCTCAATGATGAAAAAGCCAGAGATTAAGGCTCAAGTCATTGGAACAGAATCTCGAAGAAGACTGCTTCGGTGAGTCATTGGGAAAGCTGTTTAATAGTACTTGTTTCATGTGGCATCGAACTACAGGATTAGCCTGACACGTTTAACCCCCCCAATGTATTCGCGGTACACAAAAGTAACATAAGTCATAAGACGTTGTGATAGTTGTGAAATGTCAACACAACGAGCGGTATAACTTTAATACAAATGAAGATATATTTGAAGCATCGACTTGGACAACATGGGTACGTAACTTGTGTGGATGCTGGCTAGCAAGCAACTCCTAAAAACAAGAGAACCTAGTTCGACTGGGAGGCCTCAGTTAGTGGCACCATTTGGCAAGTACAAAAGGGAGCATTCATTGACTGTGACATCCCACTTGTCACTGAAGTTTTTACTGAGAGGGAATTGAGCATACAACAGTCTCAGCTGAAATGGGAATGTTATAGAGAAAGTTTCTTGGCCTTCTTCAACCTACAGCCATATCGGCTGAAGTCTTCATGTTTGCTGGTTGACTCCTGTTGGGTGGCACCTGGTAGTTCAATGGCTGTTGTCTTGGTCGTAGGCTGCTCATCCTGAAAGCGAACCTGTTTGTGAGGTTGGCTTGACTCCATGGGTTGGGCTGTTTGTGATTACGGCGCAGGGAGATCAGAAAGGTGGCGACTGCTTCGCCTTAGTCGACTTCCGTCTGTGGTTTCGATGATGTAGGATCTTGGTTCATCACATATTTTGATGACGGTTGCCGGTCCCCATCTTCCGATAGTGTGGTCCTGGGTGCACACCTTCTGTCCCGCTAAGAACAGTGGTCGCTCTGGACCTGCTCTGGCGTCATAGTGTTTCTGTAATAACTGACGGGCCTCTAACGCGGCATTGATAGTGTCTTTGTCTGGAAGCTCGTTTCTGATGCACACTGGTAGATTGGCCTTAGCTTTTCTACCCATCAGAGTTTCCATGGGAGATTTTATCTTGTCACTCACTGGCGTCGTTCGTAAGCACAGTAGTGCCAGGTCTGGATCTACTTGATCTAGTCTGGCTTTCCGCAAATATCTTGAAGGAATAGGCATCAAACTGTGGACCATGCATTATCTGTGTACCATTATCATTTCAGGGATGCCATGAATCCCAAACAGATCTTTGAAGTACGTGACAGCAGCCTTGCTGGTGCACGACTTACCCATTGAACACACGAATGGGAATTTGGTGTAATGATCTGCTACCAGCAGGTATTCCTCTCCATCTAACTTAAAGAAGTCAGCACTCAGAGTATGCCATGGATGGGGCGGAATATCTCTGCAGCAATGGCTCCCTTTGCTGTGACGGTGGGTTCTGCTGGCAAATGTCACAATTTGCCACAAAGGACTCAATGTCTGAAGCTATATTCCAGCCCAGTACACACTGGCCTTAAAATTGGCTCTCAGACGGCACTTATCCCGCCCTTGGTGGCCTGCGTGCAATGCCGTGATTACATAGTGTTCCCGTGACATCAGCGAGATTTACGACAATGATGTTGCAATGATGGGGATTCCTAGACTTGCATACCAGGCGTTATGATGGCGCGTAATTGAATTAACCACGCGCGCAGTGATTGAATCTGATTTTGTCCAAAATAGGCCTACTACATATATGATTGATGGAAGAGCTGGAGCATGTATCATTGTATGTTTGTGTATAATCTGTGCTAATAAATAGCCTACCCACAGCTAATGATCCTTGCAAGTCAGACCATGCGAGTCAAACAATGCATGTTTCAAAATCGAGGCATTATAGTGTGTGCAATGATAAACCTTGTATGTCATTCCGACTTCATCAAACTCATCACTAAGGGTGTTTGATTTATCTGTATTTGTTTCTTCACATTTCAGGCTGGCTGATGCAGTCCTCTCACTTTGTATTTTTACTCCAACGACTGTATTCTTCTGGCGTGGTGGCTGGCAACTCATGGATCTGTATCTCTACCCTAATAATCCGGTCCCTAGTGTATTGGTAAGTAAGCCAAAATCCACAATTTGTATGTTAGTGGCAATATTGGGTCCTAAACAAGTTTGAACGTCCCCAACAATTTTGTAAGAAGGTACATGGGGTCACTTCTTCACATAAGTGTCAGTTCTATAGAGTTGTTCACACAGACAGGTGTTCGTTATATATATATATATATATATATATATATATATATATATATATATATATATATATATATATATATATATATATATATATATATATATATTAGTATTATTGGTTATAACTTGCGCCTTGCATTGTTAGTACAGAAGTGTTTTTTTACACAATACAACTTATATTTACAGATTTCACTGTGTATAGGGTACACTGGTGCCCTTGTAATGCACTCGGGACAGTTTCTACTGCAGAAATACATACAGCCAGAAAACACGCTGACTTTCGTTGTCCTGTCCCGCCTCTATTCTGTTGTGTTTGCCTTCACAAGTGTCAACCACTGGAGAGGTGTATGGGCGTCACTAGACTATTACACAGGTATGTTGTTGTAGTCGTCTAAAATAACGATACTATGCCTTTATGTACGTGTAACCTGTATCAAGAGTAGATAATAAACACATGTCTTTATGTGTTTACATGTGTTTGTGTTTACACATGTGTTTACATGTCTTTATTATCTACTCTTGCCTGTATCACGTGGTAACATATGCGTGCTTGTGTGCTTGCGCACATACAATGTGTATGAGTCGGCGCATATAAATGCGTGCTTGTGGGTGAGCGTGTGTGTAAGGTGAAGGCTAAGCGTGAGCATGAGGGTGCAGGTCTGTGCATGCGTGCTAGTCAGGGGTGTTAGGGCTAAAAAGGGGCCGTTTGGTTCACATTCTTCCAAAAGCACCAAATTTGGCCCAGATGTTGCCCATACCATACTTTTTCGATTTCTGGCGGGCGCCGGAATGGGCGCCCTACCGTGGCCGCCATATTGGCAAATTCCAATATGACCGCAACCCGGGTTCGGTAGCAACCTAGTTAAACATCCAAAAGAGCTATAATCATAAATAATACCACTTTTTAGGGGTTTTAAGGTCTGGGAATCTGATTCTGATCTTACTTCAGTGATTTGAGGTCAAGGTCATCCCTCAAGGTCATCATAAAGGTCATTTTTGGGTCAAATATGTCATTTTTTAGTGTTTTTGTCAATATATACAAACAGCACATCATTTTATCGGTTTCCATGGTTGAGTAACCCAAATCTCACCTTATTTGAACGATTTGAGGCAATATTGCATGTCAGGGTCACAATAGAGGTCACCCGACCAAGAGTTAATCGTACGTCAATTATAGGTAAAAAGTGTTAGAATCAGACATAATACCACTTTTTAGGGATTTGTGGCCTCTGAGAATCCGATTCTGATCTTATTTTGGCGATTTGAGGACATAGTGACCACATTTTGGGGTCAAAGGTCAAAGCTCAGCAGTGTACTACTAAAAAATAAACAAAGATTATTCAGGAATCAATTTTTATTAAAGTAATTCAGAGATTACATATTATGCTGTAGCGAAAAACATGACAAAATGCTTTATGTGCCTCTGTATGCCTTTAATTTAATGTTCAAATTACAATACAAGGACAACTTTTGCAACAATATACCAATACGTTCTGGCTTGCAGGATATGACATCTGCTGACATTAAGTGATATAACAATGTTCATACGTTCTGGCTTACTATGCGCTATATGATGCCAGCAATACGTACTACTGGTCCTCTTCGCTATTAACGCACCCACCTTCGCATTTGCAAAGGGCCGTACATCGGACACCGGCGCGGTTGCATTTGCACCTTCCTGTGCATGCCTTGAGACAGCCACAGTGCAAGAGAATGGCACATGCCACTGAAGCGTCGCTGAGAGTGGTCCATAGTGGTTGCCATGTACTGGTGCCATCTTTGTGCCATGTCCCCACTCACTGAAGTCAGGAATTTCCTGCTGAACCGAGGTGGCCTGACTCCAGTAGAAACTCGCCTGTCGTAACGCTCGCTTCATATGCTGGAACAGTGCTGCTTGGGTAGGTGCTTCCGTGATCTGCTTCCAGTGGTGAAGAGGCGATGCCTGGCCTCATTGACACCAGCTGCACCACACGCCTTGCTGTACATGAGTACCACGAAGCGTTCGACCTGCTGCATATGCACAGACTCCAGACTAAAGAGGTCAGGGTCGCGCGTGAGAGCCACTAGTGTGTCGGTGAGGTCCGGCATGCTTGTCCAGGCTGCCTAGGCGGTCTTCTTGTCACATCAAAGAAACTGTGAAGTCGTGTCACATCCTGTTAGGCTGTGGAAGAGGGGTAGTGCCAAGGACTTTGAAGGACCGAGATTGGAGCCGATGGTATGGACTGGAATGTCACGGTACTTTTTACCAGTACCGAACCCCACCCAGAGCTCTGATAGGCCGAGGTCTCGAAAAACCGGATTGCCAAAACCACGACATTGCTGTCCACCATGCGAACATAGGCTGTTGTATGACCCTGCTCTGCGGCATGTGCCAGATGCAGTAAGATCCTTGTGTCCGCCTCGGAATGGTTGCACGGCTGAAGTGTTGTGAGGTCACAATGCTTGTTGGAGAGCACGGTCTCGAAACGGGTACTCAGGAGGAGCTTTCCACCCATGTCGTTCTTGGAGATCTGTGTGCTGATGAATGAGAAGAGCTCCTTCTTGTTCTCCTCATTTTTTAGGAAGCCACTGTTCCATTCATGCTTCGGGATTTGAGTGCTGCCATCGCCGACTCTTGTCCGTGGGCCCTTCCCACGTCGTAGCTGCGTGAGAGCTTTGAGGTTATTTTCCTCGGGGTAATTATCCCATACAGCATCGATGCATTGGGTACTCCTCTTCATTTGGGCTTCCAGAAATGGTACAATGTGAAGCGGCACATACTCGCTGAATGTCTTTGCTGTTGTGGGGCGCACCATGTGGATCACTGCTGCCATATCCAACACCACCACCGTGGCTTGTTTGGCAGCAGCTGTGCGGCCAGTGGGTGCATTGAGGCATTGAAGAATGTCCGACTTCGTCCCAGATCGCAGCGACCCTCGATCCGCCAGGCTTGGTGGCTCTCTCTGATTTTCGAACCGAAAGAAGTCTGTCATGTCTGCATCGGGACGCGACTGAAGTGAGAGGAAAAGTTGCGTGATTAAGGTCATATTCTGCCTCTGTATGCCAGTGTCCTTCTTGCCTTTTTTCTTGGGGTCAGGTCGGTTGGCGAATGTTAGCATGTTGTTCCGCTTAATGGTATCAGATACCGGTACTGAAGCTTTTCCAGCCTTTCAATGACGTATGCTGCATGAAGGGCTTGGCCAGCTTCATGGATTTGAGATAGAGAATTAGCAACGGCCTGTTCCATGACATTCTGTGTATCGAGTGCTACAAGCTCCTGACTTGTAGTGAGGAAAGGGTTGCTTAGCTGCTCGACCACCTCGCTGAACGATATTACATCCTTTCAAAACATGACTTGCAAGCTGTGTCGTTCCTCATGATGAGCAGTGGATGATGATGGTGGGTAATGGATGGCCTCGAACTCCTCAACTATCCGTGCGCAGTCAGGTCCAGCCAGCATAAACAGTGTAAGGGCATCGGGGTTCTCATAGAGTCCAACTGCTCCGCCATGCGTCTGAAGGGTTTTGTTTGACTGTTCATGAGCTTGGTCCTTTCCCATGAGGCTGAACTTTCTAGCTGATTTCTGCACAACAAAGTTGCCCTTCATGAATTCAGCATGTACTTGAGGGTGTTTCTCGGCTAGCTGGACCATGTCACGTACATGTACAGGCAGCCAACGCGCGTAGTTTGTGTGGTCCAGGGCGTGAAACCAGCCACAGAGTTCGTCACATGCTTGCACATATAGTGCAAAGTCCCCCTCCCGCAGGGACCGAACAAAGCGAGTCATCAGCAGCTCCAGGTCGATTACGGTTGACCAGAACTTGAACAGGGGTAGAGTTTGCGATCGTTGATTCCACATATCGAATGACTCAGGTGGGACCATTACATTCTCCAATACTAATTTTCTGAAAAGTTGTTTGTCGTTACGGTCGGTCGTTGTCGCTGCAGTGTGTCTTGGCCTTTAAGAGTGTTTCTGTTGAGAAAATCTCAAACTTTTTTGGATGTGGGGTTACACACCAGAAACACTGGGTTTTTACCCCAAAATGACCTTTAGGGTGACCTTGAGGGGTGACCTTGACTTCGAATCCTATAAATAAGAATATAGATCAGAATCGGATTCTCAGAGGCCACAAATCCCTAAAAAGTGGTATTATGTCTGATTCTAGCACTTTTGGGTTTTTACCTATAATTGACGTATGGTTCACTTCTCGGTCGGGTGACCTCTATCGTGACCCTGACATGCAATATTGCCTCAAATCGTTCAAATAAGGTCAGATTAGGGTTACTCAAACACGGAAACCGATAAAATGAGGTGCTGTTTGTATATATTGACAAAAAACACTAAAAAATGTCATATTTGACCTCAAGATGACCTTTAGGGGGTGACCCTTGATGGGTGACCTTAACCTCAAATCACTGAAGTAAGATCAGAATCAGATTCCCAGACCCTAATCAGAAAACCCCTATAAAGTGGTATTATTTATGATTATAGCTCTTTTGGATGTTTAACTAGATTGACCCCCAACCCGTGTGGCAGCCATATTGGAATTTGCCAATATGGCGGCTCCGGGGGGCGCCCATTCCGGCGCCCGCCAGAAATCGAAAAAGTATGGTATGGGCAACATCTGGGCCAAATTTGGTGCTTTTGGAAGAATGGGAACCAAAATATCCCTAACACCCCTGACTAGCGTGAGTATGTCAATTTCTAGATTTATGAAGATCATATAGGATTGTGATGTAAATGAGGACAGGCCCCTATAAATAGCCATATGTTTTATTGTGTTTTTACTATTCTGTCCTATGATCAAATATTATTAATAGAGTACACCTGTAAATTATTCTTATTGTTCTTGTTTTTTTAATCTCAGTACTAAAGAAACTATTCGGTAACTTTTTTCTGACTAGAACTGTTACCCTAGACTGGTCCTAAGGTAGACTAATAATAATTGATCAAATATAATGTGGTCTTGTGTATAGTGTAGTGATGATGTGGGAGGGCACTATATAACAACCACCCGTACTTATTACACTGGAAGGGGCAACTGGAAAATTTATCTGAAATTTCTGTATTGCAATGAGTGAACAAAACAGTACTAGATGAACTTTGAAGATTTTTTTATATTACTAGAATTCGTAACTGCTAAATTTCTCTAAATAATATATCTATGTATAAGATTACAATAAGGATACGGGTAGTGTTCTTAGTCTTGTTTTAAAGGTCAAAAATAAGGGAATAGAATGCCGAGTAACCAAATTTACATGGTTGGATACTTGTGAAGTTAGCCTGGTAAAGCATAAGCAGCAATGCAAATAAATATGTCAACCTTTCAATAGTAGGTACTGGAAACTAGCCTAATTTGGTAGTCCATTTGGCTGGCTGTAGTAGGGACAATGTTCACCTGCTTTGGCTATCATTTATGATCTCAGATTCAATGATTCTCGGATGATTCCCGGATTGATTATGATTCGTGACTGATGTGATAAAATCAGGAGTCCATAAATATGGAGCAAGCGTATGTGCATAGAATTTTCCATTTACAGCTTTAGCATTACAGGTAATAAATACCTGTGATTGTTATTTAGAACCCACTGATAATGCGTGAGAATGCTTGAGTTGTTCTTCACAATAATTGGTATATAATAATTTATTATGCACACTACGTACCCTACTTCAGCTACAACCAAAATTGTAGTCGCTAGTACTTGATTGTCTTAATAATTGAAATTTATTACTTAATGCTGACGTGAAGCTGTACAAGGATAGTAGACTCAGGTAAGTCAGACAATTTTAATCATATATATAATCACATGATATCATGAGATCATATTTGATCTCTTTTCATGTCACCTGCGGGCAAATACTGTGGTATGTCAGCTGCTTGCGTTTATGTGTGTATGTACCCGTCACAAATGGTACTGAACCAGCTATAAAGCTGGACATGTGAACAAGAGAGCAGAAAGTGCAGGGAGGAGACAGAGAGACAGCAAGAGTGGCGAGAGAATGTAAAGAGAGATGCAGAGTCCAGGTTCGGTGTGGCGACAAACCTGTCATGCTCCCGTATACCAAGTGAAGCTACCTTCTTATATATACACGTCATGTATTAGTATCTTCCTATACGACTGGTGATCGCTGGCCTCTCACACTCATCACATAGCTTTCATGCAATGCAACATACGATGCTACAATTTTGTGTTCTAAGTATCAAGAACAGCAGCTGGGTTTTGCGTGAGCTGCAACCATGTACCATACATACGTTTCAGCAAGGTGGAATGAATATAAAGAAGAAGAAGAAAAGATAAACGAGGAACAATCAGACATTGAGAATGACTCTAGCACTCTGCGCAGCCTGTCAGACCTGTGTGCGGATGTGCATTGGCAAGATATATGACATTCCTACAAACTCTTTTACGTTCATGAAATAATGTAAAGTAAGTACATGAAGTAAGAAGCACCAGAACAGGCGAAACCTGTACCAAGTCTGACGACGTGGTTCACCCCTCCCTGATCCGCAAGCAAGCCAGCAAGCAAACAAGCAAGCCAGCAAGCAAACAAGCAAGCCAGCAAGCAAACAAGGAAGCCAGCAAACAAGCAAGCCAACAAACAATCA